TGATAATTATGTGCACAAGTTTCTGAAATAGATCTATTAGACATTTGAATATAGATTAGGTGTTGATAAACTGCAGTAGTAGTACAATAAGGAAGTGACATTTTTTGGCTAAACACTTTTCGGGGAATGTGGGAAGCAGCTGTCTCAATGAAAAGTTAGAGATATCTTGAACATTATAGTTGTAATTGTGAATTAATAAATGATGGCGCTCCATATATACATATTTGTGTAGACAAGGGATACTGGCCTATGCTGAAATGTCAAAGTCTCTGCAGAGCACGACACATGGCCAAAAAAGACTGAGACCAACTGACCTTTGACCCTGACCGACAGTGTAACTTGACAAGGCACTGTGATTGACTGACTCTGGGGTGGACCTGACCAAACTTGACTTTACAACCTGACAGTGTGAATGTGAGTGTATGTCTGCATGTGATCAGTGCAACTGCATGATTTAAAACAATGACTAATCAAGCATGTTTTTGGACTAACACATTTTTCTGGGCCTCAATAACATTCCACAGAATTGGAAAACCGCACTTGTGCACTCCCACAGGAGGTGGCAGTTTGCAGAATGAGGAACTCAAACTAAAACATGAAGATTCTGTTTCTTTTAGGACTGAAGGATGGAGAGAAACACTTCATTTCACTGGAGTGTTTACTGTGGAAATGATGGATGTACATTTGGGAAAAAATGTTTGATATTTTCTTAGAATCCATTATTACCTGAAGGTTTTCTTCCCATACAGGATTTTGGTTACACATGAGTCATGTGTAAAAAGGGGGAGTGTACTGCTGCCCCAACTCGATTGTTCAATCTGACCATTGATTGACGGTTTTAGAATTGACCTGCTCCATATCTGGGGATAAGATACTGTTTGATGAATGTTGACATGTTTCTAATATTGGTTGAGTTATAGCAGGTAACACAGATGCAGAATCAGTGGCCAAGGGGCTACTGTGAGAGATGTAACTCCAGAATGGAATACGGAAGAAGTTGACCTGTGAGTAATGTTTCAACAGGTATAAAAGTAACTGAGGTTTGAAATGTAGAAAGAACATATTACAGTTAAAACTAAAACATAGTAGTGTATTGAGACAGAATTTAATTTAGACAACATCATGTAACTAGCCTGGTAAAGAAGTAAAAGCCATATACTTTATTATTTAGGTCATTATGGGGATATACATTTCATCTAAGTTCATAATAGAAAGACATTTGATGACAGTTTGTTGGAATTCTGTATTCATTTTTTCAGCGTGATAATATCTAAGCACTGACAGGTAGAAGCAGTATCACCAGGAAATCATTCACTTTGTTAGTATTGTGATTTTGGTTGTTTTTGAATCCATAACATTAGTGTGTTTCTTTACCAGAAACATTAGCAGTTCATATTATATTTAGATTTTAAATAGGATCTCAAGGATTTCATTTAAAAATAAACACAGATGCTTGTCAGAAATTCAGAGCTATTGAAATATGTTATTTAGTTTACCTAAAGATGTTGGGGTTCTTATTTAGTTGGCACAATCCAAGTATTAAGATTCTGAAGCTGCACTGGCAGATAGGAGGTCTACAATTAATTTAGAAAACCGGTTCACAGACGGCTGTTGTTTCAAGACACCCCACCAACAGGCTCCAAGTTGGTCAAAACAGCTGAGCGTAGGCTTGAGGGAGTTGTATCAGATTTCTCCACACAGGTTGCTGGCGCCAAAAGGGGGACCCGAGAAGCACGAGGCCGACACAGCGGTGTTCATCTGGCTGAAAGTCATCAGGACAAAGTGGCTCAACCCCAGGCTCTCCGGCCCCGACCGAGTGACCCAGAGGACATCCCATGCCGTCCGCCTAGAAGGAAAGGGGGACAACTGGTACCACTGGAGCCAGTGTGCGGTCGGGAAAACACCTGCGAGGACCCTAGACGACATCAGGACAGACCTGGCCCTCGTCAAGGCAGTCGACCCGGGAGGCATCATCAGCGGGCCGGAGAAGGAGAATCGGGAAGACATCTCTCCAGCATCGACCCGGAAGCCGCCATCAGCGGGCCGGAGGAGGAGGAGGAGGAAGACATCTCTCTAGCAGGCAGCCCAGAAACTGCTGTCAGCGGATCGGGGGGACAAAGACACGGCAAGCCAGGACGGCACAGGGGACTTGTCGAGGCAGCAGAGGAGTCTACTTCTCTGATCAGTTCCACCCGTGAAGGGCTAGCCGCATCTCCCCCTCCCTATCAGCTGCCCCTTGTTGGCGTATTCCTCTGAGGGGGGGGGGGCTGATGATTCACCACACAAGGAGACTGCACTAGCACCCAGCTGCCCCCTCATGGTTCCTTCACTGCCATGGAAAGTGGTGTTCTGTCTCCATGAAGGTTTCAAGTACTCTAAATACCAGCTTCGGATGGATTTATACAATGTTTGGGGGACGGACACAGTAGAAAAGAATGACAGTGGGTATATGTTTCAAGTGCCTTGTTTAAAGTTTATCTCTGGAGAAAGAGATAAAAAGGGGGAATTGCGGAAGTTTATGAAGAGTATTATGCAGAAGATGTGATGCAGCATATTTTTGGTATATTCATTTTAATCTCACCAATATATAAGAGGTGTATTGCATCACACTCAAAAAAATGATTCAAGCCCTTCTTAGACTTGACACATTAAAAATGGTTTCACTTTACTTAAATATTTTTATTTAAGAAATAAACCTAAGTATAGTTCATTAGTGTAACACAAATTACATTAATCAATTCACTTATTAAATGTATTTAAGACAGAGCAACTCAAAATGAATTGTTTTCATTGGGGACCGCCCCTTTGCACACCCCCTTTGCGTATGCGCAACATCCGTTCTGTCATTTGCCGCCTTTTGTCTAACACTGACTGTGGAAACTGACTGGGGAAACTGACGGTGGAAAGTCTATTATTTGGTAAGTATTTGTTTTTTCTAGTAGTTTAGAATGTTCCCTGTTTCCAAGTAATGCCTTTTCATAATATCGACAAGAATATTTGAAACCACCGTGTTATATTTTGCTCCGTTTTTAGTTGGGTCTAAATAGCAAGCTAGCTAGCTTGCTAGATATGGTTAGCATTGAATACTGGATAGTAGAGATCATTAGATTATATTACATTAGATTTAACGTTATTGTCATTGAACATAGTACACTGAAATTCAGTTTAAGTTCAACCAAAAAATGCAACGAGTAATTAAAGTGCATGAGGTAAAGCGGCAAGCTAGCTAGCCAGATAACTGGTTTGTTAGCTAGCTTGCTAGATACGGTTAGCATTGGATACTGGATAATGGAGATCATTAGATTATATTACATTCGATTTAATGTTATTGTCATTGAACACAGTACACCGAAATTCAGTTTAAATTCAACCAAAAAATGCAAAGAGTAATTAAAGTGCATGAGGCAAGCTAGCTAGCCAAATAACTGGTTTGTTAGCTAGCTTGCTAGATACGGTTAGCATTGGATACTGGATAATGGAGATCATTAGATTATATTACATTCGATTTAACGTTATTGTCATTGAACACAGTACACCGAAATTCAGTTTAAATTCAACCAAAAAATGCAAAGAGTAATTCAAGTGAATGAGGTAACAGTATAGGAGGCAGAGCCTGCATGCAAGGGCTGCCATTTTCTATCATAAAGCTCAGCAGGTGTGTCCATCTCTCTCCTGGCCTTAGTGCAGGCAGGCAGAGGAGGACAGGCGGAGCCACTCGTTTCTGTAGGAGTTCAGTTGAGTTTAGTTTTTTACTGCCAAATATTTAATATAAATAATGAGATAATATATATGTGAATCTTGTATGGGTTACTTCACTCACAAGCAGGCACCCAGAGTTGTGCAGAAACGTTTTTTGGGTTGTGCAATCTTAGGCAATTATGTGTTTTCTGTGAAAATTCAAATATATAAGCATTTTAATCACACCTCTAAAATATATTTGTTGTCTTTTGCAGTTTGATCAGCATTAACAAGCACCTTGGGGAAACCTCTTATTTATGGTAAGTACACGGCTACTTTCACAATACTTGCACAAGCTGATCTGTGACATTGTCAGTTGTTCAGTGTCAATTGCTAATTCTATTTATTCTCTTTTTCAGGTTATGCATGTGGCAGTGCAAACACTGCAGTTTGGAACTAGCTAGCAGGTATTTGTTGTTAAAACATTTCCAGCAGACACATGCACATTTAAGGGGCAGTTAAACTGTAAAAACATTTTTATGTTCATCTTTGATATAATCCTAATGTGTTTCTTTCTTGTTATTCTTTCACCTTGTTTCTGCTCTAGATTAAAAGGTGTTCCATAACGGCAGGTCGGGCGCTTCTGCGCATCATCTTTGCCGACCAGTCTGACTCTAGAAAACTGACCCTGGATTCGGGAATCCCAGCAACAGTTGAAGAACTGCACACATTTGTCAAGACATCTCTTCAATTGAAAGAGGACTTCCGTCTGCAATACATGGATGTTGACTTTAACGAGTTCATGAATCTTACATTAGTGTCTGAAATTCAGGATAAAAGCACACTGAAAGTAATTTACTCTCCTATATTGTCAAATATTGAGCCCTCCATCACTTAGTACACAGTTGACTCATTTGATAAGACCTCAATTACTGGAAGCTCAGAGTCTCTAATCCCTGCATCATCAATAGCCTCATGCTGCAGTGATGATATGGTGTATACGTCAACCCCGCATCCATCCCCTGAAGCTCAGGCCTCACAATTGTTATCCTGGCCCACAGTTTTTGTGGTTCCTAAGCTCACCTACGAGGCTGAATTTGAGCTTCATCTACAGAATGCAGAGTTTGAGACAACTGGTACATACTTCCAGCCTGGCCTAAAGCTGAAAGGAGTCATTCTTGATGGCCTAGCCCAAGAAATGATCAAATTCACAAAATATCCAAAAGACTATCAGTGTGAAGAGGTAGCTGCAGCGTTGACGAGGGCCCACCCTTGTTTGGGGCAGCTAGGATCCAAGATAGGATTTGGGGGGTGGAAAACAGTCTCTTAAGTACAAAATGCAAAACTATCGTACAAAGCTTGGCCGTCTTGGACATCCTGAAATCCTTGTGAACTCCTTAAAGCACAAGAAAACAGGCCAAGGCAAAGCTGCAGCAAACATAAAAAAAACAAGAAAAGCTGAAATAAACTACATTCCTCTGCACCCAAAAGGCGAAACCACAGAAAGCTTGGAGAATGAGAGAATTGCCTTATTGTCAGAACTGAAAAAGCGTGACAATGAAGTGGTGATAAAAGCAAAAATGGAAAAAACCTTCTCTCACAGACGCCTTGAGATTGTGGAGCAAAGGCCTTTGATAGGGGACTTCAAATGCAGATGGCCTGCTCTGTTTCAGCAGAGTGAAGTAAGTAAATATTTGTATTTGTTGACAGTCTTTTATTATTATCCTTTGTGATTCATGTCTACATCCTTGCATGGTTGTGATTCTAATAAACAAGTAACAATTGGTTGTATTGTGCTTGTTAATAATATTTTAAGGTGAATGCGGAGTTTTTGAGGATCACAACATCACCACTTCAATCAAAGTTCATGTGGCAGCTGGACCACTTCTCAGACAAGCTCTTGAAGATCTTCAAGATCAAAGGAGGACTAAAGGGCCACAAAATCAAGGAAGCCCTTGCAATATCAGATTCGGTTAGTATAAATGCAGAGAACCTCGTTTTTCACTGTATTGTTTTTGTCCATGCTCATATGAACACATTTAAGAAATTGTCTGCTTTTATAGTGTTTTTAAGGCAATAGCTTATTGTGGAAATGTAGGGGTAAGGAGTCCTGCTTAGGGAAACACACGACAGATACAGCCCTCTACTTTGTAGACCTGCTCTGTTGCACATGCATTGTGCTTAATTGTCTTTGATTTATCGCCCCTGCTTTAGTTTGAAAACATCCACATCAAGAGGGGGTGCATCCTGCGAAGCATCGCGATCTACCTCAACGAGGATCCAGACTCTTTTTTTAAGGAGTATCAGGTATGTTTATCACAATATGTTTTCAATGTAGTGGTTAACAGTGTTACCCACAATTATAACCACCATTACTTACATTGATAATAAGAAAATTCTATGGCGCACACAACCCTATCCCTGCTTACATCTAAATATCTTATCACATATCATAAATACATGCAGAAATAAATAAATGTATACATTAATATAGGAATGAATATATGTAAGAATGAATAAATACAGAAATAAAAAAATAATAATAAATAGATACAGAAGTAATTTCATCGGGCAAGTGTTAAAATAAATATAGAAAAAAGTGAATTAATACATTTATACAGATATAAATACATCTATAAATTAACATAGGAATACAATTGATAAATACAAATGTGAATTAAAACATGAATATATCTGGAAATAAATACAAATAATAAATGAATGCTGAAATAAATATTTACATTTATATATAAATACATCTATAAATGAATAAATAAATATGGACATGAATACATATGTAAGAACTTATAAATAATTGAATAAATACATAAATAAAATAATAAATAAATGCTGAAATACAGAAATATATTAATCAATAGATTCATGTTTAAAAAGGTATGTGAATGCAGCAATTACTAAATTGTTAAAGGAATAATTACATAATCACATAAATCAAGGAAATAAATTATTAAATAATAAATAATCAAATACATATCAAAATAAGTAGGTAAATGCATAATTAACTACAGGAATAACAACAAATTACATGATTAAGTAGGGATGTAAACAAATAACTTAATACCTGAATTAATAAATAAGATAAAGTTGATAATCAAACAGAACATACAGGAATATATCTTTATAATTTATTTATGTAAACATTTTCTTACAAGCTTAATTTAGTTCTGTGTTGGAGGTCCTAACCTTCTCTGGTATCACTCAGGACATTTTTGTCCAAATTGGTAATTTTTCACATCAGATTTGGCTATAATGATTTTGTGTTTTTTCTAGATACTTTTTGGAATTTCAATTTTTCTAATCGGTCTCGAATACACTGTGTACAAATTACCCTAATTGTCCATTTAAAAAATGTTCCCACACTTCCCAAAAAGTGTGGGGGAAAAATATTTAAATATAATATTGTTATATCATTTTATCATTCAAGTTTTTGAAAGTGGACATTTTTATCCTGAGTGGCCAGATTGGGTAGTACATTTGAGTGATACCAGAGGGTTAGTCTAAAACTGTTTTGATCAATGAGGAGAGCCACATAAGTAAATCTGCTTCTATAAAATGTAGTAATTCAGGTTTTAGTTAACACATGTGTTGTATGCTTGTGTCTTTGTTCAGGCCACTGCCTCTGAAGATGCCAAGAGGGACATGGCAAACACAGTCATGGGCATATACACACTTCAAAGAGATGTGGATGGGCAGCAAGAGGACGTGGGAATTGTCATCGAAGGCAATATAGTCATGGACAACTTGGGCAGCGTGATTGTGGGGTTTGTCATGCTATTGGGACTTATTTATGCCCTGGATTTGAGCTTTCCGGACAACCTCAAACACACCTTCGAGTTCATGCAGAAGGTAGTGATGAATCTGGATGGGCACAAGCTGAATGGTAAAATCGAAAGTCTGAAGATCAAGTTGTTCGATTGAAATGTGAAAAAGAAGTGACTCATGAGTTCATTGTTGTCATTTTATTCACGAGTTTCCTAATCAGAGCAGATTGAGCCGTTATATCAATCATTTGTTCTGTGCTTTTCTGTATTTGTTTGTTTCAACACACTGCAACACTATTTCCATATGTTGGTGTTTGCAGTGCACTCTTCATGTTATGTGTTATTGTCCTGTTAGAAGAGCAGTGCATACCCCTGTTATATTGTATTCATTGTATTTGGCAAAGGGAGATTTGTAAGTTAATTATAGGAGTTCCATTTCTCTGCCATTTTAAAAATGGTATTATCTTTCAGAAATGTTTTTCATCTTTCAGTGTGAATTCATTCATTTTAAAACACTATTGAATGGAGGATTGTTTTGAATAATGTGAATTTAAAAATAAAAAAAACTAAACCATGTTTTCTATCATGTGTAACACATTTTTATTAAATTATATTTAACCTCATTATTTCATTTTCAATTAATTAAATAGGATTTAGGTGGACTAGCATTATCTAAATTCATAAAGGTAATGTTATCATTTTACTTAAACTCTATTTGAAAAATTTGAGTTGGACTAACTCATTTACATTATACTGCATGGATGCCATTAGTTTGAGTTTGTGCCACATATATTTATTGGATGGAAAACCTGCCAACAATAAAATTGAGTTAATCCAATGAGTTATTTCTTTGAGTGCATGTTATCCCTAAATATATGTGTGGGTATATACATTCCTGTGTATTAATAGTTGAAGGAACAAAATACATTTTTCCTCTTAAATATAGAGAGGTTTTTTATAGATTCCTGAAACAATGTTCCCTTTTTCTTTAAAGTAGATTAGTGCAATAGTCTTTTTCTTTCACTTGTACCCTTTTCATCAAAAGGGTGCTTTAGGTTATTTTTGAGGGGTAAAATGCAGAATTACTTGTGAGTTCTGTTTTGAGTGAAAAGATTACCCTTTTGAGTGTTTTTCTTGGTTAACCATTAGATATAGTGGCTAAATTCGTTCTAAGTTAATTATGCGCATCCTGCAGGCCTTGAGAATTTAGTCACACAGTTAAGAGAGACAATGGTCCTTTTAGACTAAGGGTGAGCTTACTTCGGGTGAATAAAAGTTCAGAGATGATTGGGGGGGGTATGAAGACAGTTAGGCTTGTTGGTGAGCTAGTTCTGAGGATGTCATGGGATAATGACTGTTATATTCCCAACAAGTATGGCTTTCATAAAGAAACACATGACTTGGGTGATAAGATGTGTTTTGTTGTAAAATGGGCCTGTTTGGTTTTCTGCTGGCCAGCGCTGGGTCACTGTGACAAAGCATATTTTGCGTCTGCCAATGAGAGGACCTGAAAAGATGACCAGCTGACCTCACCCCTTCCTTCTGTCTTCTGGTATATATTCTGTTGATTCCTGAGTTCGGCCTCTCTTCACATGCTGTCAGGACCGGAAGGATCTCCGCAGCACGCGAACCAGGGCAGAAGTGGGCCGGCTACTTCTTAAAACATTACAATATGATTTTAGTATATTGTATTATATGGTGTTGTAATGTATTATAGTGCATTGCATTATTACCTTTGATAATTAAAACAGATTGTTTAAACTGGGTGTTCTCTGTCTGATTTCCTTCCTGTTATGATTTTAAGCAGGACTCGTCAAAACGACACGCGGAGCCGAGTGGGGTTGTAAAAACCTCAAAACTCCAACAGTAAGTGAGTAAAGAGGGAGATGAGAGTGAGATGAAAAAGAGAGGGATGAGAAAGAGAAAATAGAAAGAGATGGGTAAGTGAGTAAAGAGGGAGATGAGAGTGAGATGAAAAAGAGAGGGATGAGAAAGAGAAAATAGAAAGAGATGGGGAAGTGAGTAAAGAGGGAGATGTGGAAGAGAGGGATGAGAAAGAGAAAATAGAAAGAGATGGGAAAGTGAGTAAAGAGGGAGATGAAGAAGAGAGAGGGATGAGAAAGAGAAAATAGAAAGAGATGGGGAAGTGAGTAAAGAGGGAGATGTGGAAGAGAGGGATAGGAAGGAGGAGAGATATTTGCGAGTTGCATACTGACTGAGTTTTCTCGATTAATAGCTTATATAGACAATACCATGCTTAAATAGACTCCTAAGTTATTATTTCATATGTGACAATATGTAAGAAAAGAGAGGGAAGAGTCAAATTATATTGAGAAATTGAGCAATTGATTTCATTTTGGAACATTCATTTCTCAAACCTATGTTTTATGGAAGAGGAAATGTACTTCTGATAAACTAATCCTTGATCAAACGGTAAATGGTGAATTAATATAACATTTAGAATCATTGAGAAAGGGTTATTCCACAGGGACTAGCTCACATTTAACTTAAAATAAAAATTTCTCTGCTTTGGACTGATGAGTATATGATTCTTGCATGTTAAATGACTGACACAAACCTTACATTTATAATGTGCATGTGTCAGGAAGGCTCCCAAATCATTCTGAGGGGGCCTATCCTATTTTTGTAATTGAATGATAAATGTGCTAATCCATTACTTTGAGTTGTCTGCACTCAGGAAAACATCCCTATCAAGTGTTAAACAGCTCTGAAGGCCAAGGGTCAGAGAGAGAAGCACACTCTGCGGCTGCAGAGAGCAACCTATCCACAGGCAAGGAGGCACGAGGTCGTTCGAGATGAGAGGATTCTAATCTTCCTCAGTGCTAATATACAGATAATTGAGATATGGCGCTCTGATGAAGAAGAGTTCTGAGCCAATCAGCACCTCAGTGCTAATCTACAGATAATTGAGTTATGGCGCTCTGATGAAGAAGAGTTCTGAGCCAATCAGCACCTCAGTGCTAATCTACAGTATCAGGATGCCTTTACACACCAGACATTCTGTGTCATAAAGAGAGGAGGACATGTTCTTCTAGCTCTGATACAAAGATAACATTTGAATTGAATGACCAGATGATTACAGATGTACAATTAATGATTGTTTTTGTATTCCCAATGAACAGATATGTGTTAAATAGTGGTGATAAATATATTTTGTCAGATCAGATTACACTTTCACACTAAACAAATTAATTGATATTTTCAGATTTATAAGGTATTGAACAATAAGATATTTCTAATATTATAACAGACAATGTTACTATCCTTAATCATTACCAGGTAAAACCAGATTACAAGGCTCCCAATTCAGCGATTGAAATTGATTACAGTTGATGCTCTGAATAAAGAACAGATGTTTTGATATTGATCTCAGTTGATACTCTGAATAAAGAACAGATGTTTTGATATTGATTACAGTTGACACTCTGAATAAAGAACAGATGTTTTGATTTTTTCTTTTTCAGGTTGTTATACAATAAAATGTTTGATTCTTCAGATTGTTAAACATTTTGAGAATTGTTTAGTTTTCCCTTCAGATTTTGAAATGACATAATGATTGATAGTTGAAGTAATGTAATTAATTAAATATCATGCCTTACTCTTGAATAAAGCGTAATGAAGTAAACGTAAAGTAATGTTAAAGATTGAGGACACTGTAACTTTACAGATTACAGATTGATCGATTCATCACTGTGAATTTATACCTTAGCTGGATCTCTCATGATTTTGTATTTACCTCAATTGGATTGCTTATATCCTAAATTCTAATTGTGTTTTAATAAGTAATTGCCTTGAAGTAAATCTTTGAGATGTAAGCTGATTTAGAATTTGTGTTTGATGAATGAGATTAACTGAGTGATAAATGATAAAGATCTTGTTTTTGAAACATATATGTTGCTATAATATTGTTGTATTTCACATGTTGTTTATTGTGCTTTTTGACAAATGATGCCAAGCACTGAAGAGAGATGATTTTTATTATGATTGACTGTGTTCAATCATGGTGATTGAAGTGTTTTCAATCTTGTTCTACTTTTGATGTAATTAATGTGAGTGAGCCCACACAACTCTGAAGACGCTTATTGATTTAAGTATTGACTGAAATATTCTTTAGACTAATGTTAATTGATTATCATAAATTGATAAAAGGGTGGATCTGTAAAGGAATATTTTAGTCTGATGCTTAGCTGACCTGAGAAACTTCACATGAGTGACTACTCTTTCTCTGTGTGGGGGAAGGGTTTACTGCCCGCTCAGACAGAGTTTCTTTGTCTGTTCATCTGTAATCGATTGGGGTAAAGGCCCGCGTTTCTGGGCTCCGCCCCTTAGAGACCAGGTTCGAGCGCTTCCGTCTTTGTGTGGGCAGAGTTAATTTTGGCAGCTTGCGTTGAACAGTGCGAGTTGCTTTGTTAATCCTCCGGCCGTTTGTCTCTCAATAAATATCAGTGTATTGACTAAGGCAAATCCAGTTTCCCTCATTTCATGATTGGCTCAACATTTCTGCAAAGACGTTTTTACTTCACAGTATTGACATTTTGCTTGTGCCTCGTTGTCAAGGCAACAGTGGTGTGAAGAGGTACTGCGGTTTTGGGGGGATTTCTGCTGTACAGAGGACAATGTGTGTCTGCCAAGTGATTCCTTCCCTCATCCCAATGCCAGGGAGAGTTTCCTTGAAGCCCACTGACCAGGGCCGGTCCTAGCTTTTTTGGGGACCCTGCCACTGACTACAGCTGCATCACTGACTGTGCTCATTAAGACAAGATCTTGAGACATGCTTGTCTCAGATAGTTCAGACTCTGAAGGAATGATGCAATGATTTTACAGCATAATTGTGCAAGAGTTTCCCAGGGGGTGGTGTAGAAACCTTAATGCTTAGTGTTTATATAAGAGGCTGCTTGTTTAAATGATGGTCTGGAATACTGAAAAGATTAAAGTTTATTATTCTTGTTTAGAAAACAAGACATCTGATTATCATGTCACATATAATAATCTTGTTATAGAAACTAGCTATGGGTAAAACGTGTGGTTGTTATACCATTGTTATCATGAACAAAAGATAAATAAGGAAATAGTATCTGCTTAAAGATGAACGGATTTCATAGAGAGGATTAGTTATTGTGAATACTCCACAAGGTATCTACTAATGTATTTTAAAGAACCAAATTTAAAGAACTTGAATTGACTTGATAAATAAGTGAAGATAAGAAGATGTATTAACCATGAATTAATCAATTGGTAAATTAAAAATAGCGGTAAA